TTACCTACCATCATTATCATCATCAGAAGAAAATGCTTAGCCTGGTTGAGTGTCTTTCTACTTTTGTTAAAATTATTATTTCAAACACCTGCAAGTTTCTTAGCAGCAGACCTAACAATTGATATTGAATCAATTAAGTCTGTTGCTAAGAAAGTTGATCCACTATGTCATGCTAGATAATTTTTCTCTTCAGAATCATAAGTCTACCATGTATCGGATATTGCTGACACATGGTCTGGTCCTTCTGCAATGTATTTAGAGATTCTTGATAAAAGACTGACAAATGTTATTGGTCTTGACCTAGTACCTTGGTTTCAATCACTTTCTCACCACCGTAATGTAGCTTTCCTTTGCCTTTTCTATAAATATTGTCCTGATGAGTTTTCCTCTTTGGTATGTAGACTTTACAAATTTCCTGTATTAGATTTGTAGTAAGGTCTTAGCATTTTACAGTTGAAATAGTTGAATGTAACCATTAGTTCTATGCTAACAGTTATTTCTCTTGCCCTTGTTGATTTTGGAACTCTTTTTCTTTTCTTTTCCTTTTCTTTTCGTCTTTCTGCTTTATCTTCTGTCTTCATTCATATTCTTTTATTATTTATTAACTTTAATAATGTTTTATTTTTCTCATATTTTCATACTTGGGGATGAAATGCTAAAAAAAAAAAAAAAAAAGGATACATGATTAAAAAAAAGTGCAAAACAATAAAAATCCTTTATTGTCAAAATCTTTTTATGGGTAAAGATCAAAAGGATTTTTTTTTTTTTTTTAATCCTTTTTAGAACCTTGGAAATTTTAGTTAAAAATCTAGTTTTTCTGGTGTCAATGTGGGGCTGTAAAATCATAGGAGAAATTAGTCTTTTTGTAGTGATTTGGAAATTCTTGCAAAAATCATAATTTTCAGATTTTTATGAAACTTTCAGGGCTTATTAAGAAAGTAAATCATTAACTCTTTATTTGGAAAAAATTTTTGCATATCTCTCTCTCCCCTCACCATTTAATTTTATAGAATTTATTTAATTTATAGAATTAAATTTGTGTCACTTAATGTTTATATTTGTTATAATGACAAGTCCTTGGAGAATTTAAATCATTTTTTATTTCTAACAGTACACCTATTTAAATAAATCTAAATTGGAAAATAAAAAAAAAAAAGCAATAAAAATAGGATGTTATTAAATTAGAAAAGCTCTTAATTACTTTTATGAATAAAATATATTATGGTTATTATTGTCTCAAGATATTATTTTCAATGAATAATGAATTTTTACAAGAATTCTTAATTTTTTTAATTAGAATAATTTATAAACTTTTAAATTTTTGTATTAATTCGTAGCAGTCAAGTGATATTGTTATTAAATTAAACTATTAATCATAACTGGAAAAGCTCACTATAATTCAATTACCCGCATTATTTTAAAAAGAATTTGATTTTCATAAATATCGACATCCATAAACAACATTTATATAAAAAAAAAAAAGTTTTACCTAATAGTAAATTTAAAATTTACTGGTAATTTTCTAACATTTCTTCAAGTGTTTTTATAAGTTAAGTCTTATAAAGCCAAAGTAAAATTCAATAAAATATTAGAATATTAAATTTTTAATATTACTGGGTAGTTTTTTTTTTTTTTTTTTTTTTTTTCCAATTATGTCCACCTTAACTTAATTAAATTTCCCAAACATCAGACTGTCAAAAACAACCCCTCCATTTCTAAAAAAAAAAACATTTTCTGCAATATTTCAAACTAAAAGTAAGCCACATTTATTTAAACTCTGATTAATTAAACCTTAAAATTTAAATCTGCTAATTTTTCTCAAATGACGTTTCAAAAAAGTATAATTTATTTTTGAAAGATTTGTTTATTTATTTATTTATTTTTTAATAAAGAGAATTATGTCGAGTTGAGTTGACAGATTTTACTGACCATGAGAAAAATCCAGTCAGAAATACATCAACAAAGTATTTTTTTACTTAATGGGAATATTAAATTTAATCAGCTTGGAATTAAAACTAAAATTAAAATTCATTTAAAATTGGATATCGCCGTTTTCTTTTTTCTTTTGTGAGAAGGGGAGGTACCTGCAACTGTTAGATGACAGTAGAAACTAGAAATAATAATTTTAAAATTTTGATTGAAATTTGTTGATTGGATGAATGTGACAATCCGCTTGAATTGGTTTCGGGGTTTTATGGAGATATTTGTTGTGATCTTAAACATAATTTTTAAATTCGTTTCAATTGATAAATCAAGTTGTAGTTAAGTTTGCAAAACTTTAATCAATAGGTACAACGAATAAATCTGATTTTGAATCACAGTAGTAAGTTTGGCCCGTGAGAAGTCAATACAAGCCACTGGTCAGTGAGAATGGACGGAAGGATATGGGAACTAAGGCAAGAAGAATTAAGAATAATTACCATTGTTTCTTCTTTCTTTCTTTTTTTTTATCTGAAACTGTATCTTACTTATTATAAAACGCAGATTGTGTGTGTGTGTGTGTGTCTGTAACGTTTATATATTGGATCGGATTTCCTACATTTTTCAACCGATTTCAACAAAACTTCACAGGACTACATAAAATTACCTTGTGGTGGTTCAAAAATGGGAAAAATATAATTGTTTTTGCACAAAATCAATTTGAAAACACGATTAAGAGACATCGTGAAAATGGAAGGGGGACAACTCACATCGGGTTGTTTGTATGTGTGGGTTCCTTTAAATATGTGATCGGATTTCCTATATTTTTCAGCCGATAAAACAAAAATTCACTTGGGGGGGTGCAGGTAGTGTTTCTTATTCTCTTGCACACTTTTTTCTTTATTTTTAATATTCAGAATGCTTTAAAAATTCCATTTACAAGACAATTATTTATAATAAAATTCTATTCAATCAAGAGACTCATAACGATTAAAAACAACGTTTTTGTTTTGAGTTTGGGTTTGACCAATTCGTAAAAAACAAAAAAAAACTAATTAAGACATGCATATCTGTCAACCTTAAACAATAATCTAACAATCTCTACTGATTGTACGAATACAAACATCGGATAAATTCTTTATCTTTAGGGAAAGATAATGAAATCTAAACATACACAAGTCCTAACTAAAAATAATAACCGGAACGGGAAACTACTTTAAATACACATGGTGTCCAATTTTTTACTGTATTCAATAAGTAAAAATCATAAATTGTAAAAGATTATTATTACAGAAAGGCTACTAAATGAATAAGATTTGTTAGATCATAATTAATAAACCCAAATAAAGTTAATATTTTTTGTATTAGAAACAACGAGTGGAAAATATATTCAAATCAGAATTCTAATTATGAATCACCACAAGCAAAATATGCCTTTTTTTTTTTTTTTTTTACTGTATTTAAGTAAAAATCATAAATTGTAAAACTAAAAGATTACAGAAAGGCTACCTACATTTTTCAACCGATTTCAACAAAAACTTCACTTTTTTTTTTTTTTTTTTTTGCATGTAGTGTTTCTTATTCTCTTGCACACTTTTTTCTTTATTTTTACATTCAGAATGCTTTAAAAAATTCCATTTACAAGATAATTGTTTATAATAAAATTCTATTCAATTGGGAGACTCATAACGATTGAAAACAATGTTTTTGTTTGGGTTTGACCAATTCGTAAAAAAAAAAACTAATTAAGACATGCGTGTCCTTCAACCTTAAACAATAATCTTTGTCAATTTTATTTTTCAGTCTTTATGATGGTGGATACTAGATCTATCTCTTACTGTTATATCCCCGGGCTCTACTGCTAGTATAAAATAATGCAGATTGTAGACAGTTGATAAAATTGTATTTTGCTTCCGACAGTTTTTTTTTTCTTTCTTTCTCAAAAAGAAAAGCAAGGAAGCGGAAATGACTGGAAATGTAACTGTACGGAAATGGACTGAATTTCTCACCTCATGTAGTTGTTAGTAAAGAAAAGTAAACCAACCCAGTGTTTCACTTTTTATTACATTTTTTATTAATTAGAAATTGATTGAAACTCTTTTTTCTTCTCCAAAAAATTTTTTTTATTTACTTTTAGCTGGAAAAAATGTAAATATCGACACTACTTTAGCTTGGTCACGTGGTCTTTAATGTTGATTTTTTTTTTTATATTATTATTCATTGGAACTATTTATTATTGATTTATTTAGTTTCCTGGACGATTTCACTTTTCTTTTTTTTTTTTTTTAGTGGCTACCTTTTATTTATCACAGATTACAATTCAACTGTATCAACCGCAACGTCATATTTTGCAACTTTTTTTTTTTTTTTGTGTGTGTGTGTGCTAATTCCACTTTGTGCCGAATATTAATCTTTTCAAGTATGTAATTTAATTCTATTTCAGAGATGTAATTTGTTTTATAGCATTATTTCGGAGTGTAAATTAAATAATTACAATTTTAATGATTCATTAATTTTATCTGCTTTTTGTAGAATGTATTGTAGCTGCTACTACTTTGTTCGAATTTTTACGTATTTTCTTGTCTCCGTAGAAAAGAAAACAATTATTAAAAAACTAAAAAAAGTGTTTTTTGTTTCACGGCAAATTTTCCTCTTTTTTTATTTTTTTTATTTTATTACCTTTTTTTATTTTATTTTTTTAAGTGAAAAAATACATGTTGCATTTTGGAATTAAATAATATCGCTTTTTAAGAAGGAAAAATGCGAACTAACAAATAAAAAAAAAAATTTAAAAAAATGACCGATGAGTGTTGCTTACTGTACAAAATTAGCTTGAAAAGTTGGAATAAAAAAATGGATTGAGTTCACTTAGTAAATATTTATCCGCCCTTTTAACGATCTGGGCACAATAGTGCTAAAATAGTAGCAATGGTTATTTTTTCACTTTCAATTCATCTCAGCCAAACTCTCGCCCGGGACTTAAATCAATAATACTTTTTAAAGAAACTAATTTCTTAACAATGCATCTTATTTTACATTTTGAATCGGTAATTAATTTTTTTACTTTCTTTATTTTGTAGAATCTGAAGATACAGCAAAAACAAAGAAGGTTCGTATGAAACTTTGCTTTTTCACGTTGCGTTGCGTAATAACGCCCGATACTGTTGTTATGTCTCAATAAATTGAAATTGCACAAGCACTAGATAAATGATGATATATCAATTTCTGTATTGGTAGAAGAATAGGCCACTTGTCTGCTTTAATATTTTTTCTTAAGATTTAGTAAAAACTGATTTTAAAGTACAAATTAACGTAACCTCATGTCTATTTGAAATTCTCATGATTAGTGTCACAAAAGTAATTTTTAGGGGAGAGAATTAGTTAAAACTAATTTGGGGGTGAACAAGTACAACAAAATAAAGCCCGCTAGAAATGTTTATTATTGCCCTTTTTTTTAATTTTTTTTTTTTTTTTTTTTTTTGGTATTTAATAAATATTAGTAGACCAAACTGTTCATTGAGAGTCTCCCCATTAAATTAATAGCTTTGTAAAGAAACTTACTCTTGTAATAACTGACTATAGAAATCAATCACTATTTAGCAATGTAAATGAAATTTGGGGTTATTTGCATTATAATCCATTATTTTTAGGTACCTCCACGAGATCGCTAAAAAAAAAAAAAAGAGCATAGTCTGATGAAAAAGACGCCAAACTTTATGGAAACAAAATTTTATCGTCTAAATGCTTTGTTTTTATGAAGAGGAAAGACCAAAGATTTTTTTTAATTATTTTTAAAAAAATTTTCCTTTTGAGAACATTCTAAATTTTGATTTAAAAAAACAAAAAAAAAACAAAAAAAACCTTTGTACCAACAGGGGCTAGTAAATAACATAGATAATTTCTAGCACGTTTTTTTTGTATTACACACATTAATTTGGAAAATCTTGCAAAATTAAAAATAATTGTCAGATGTTAATAAAACTTTCAGAAACTATTCACAGATGATCGAAATTATTATAAATGTTTTTTTTTTTTTTTTTTTTTTATTAAAGTCATGGCAGAAATATTTTTTTATATTTATTAACACCCCCATAACTAATTTTATGAAAAACTCTAGAAATTCGAGCGCATCAACCTTAGTGATTACAATAGTTAAAAGCACAAGGCTTTGAACAATTTTTTTTTTTTTTTTTTTTTTTTAATTGGAGCTGCAGTACCTGAAAATCAGCTGTGAATTGTAACATACAAAATCCAATAAAACAAATATATTATTTAATTTCAAATGCTTTTATTTGCTTTTAGTTGTTTTTATGAATATGGACATCATTTTCTGAAAGCAAAAACTTTTTTCAATGAAAATTGAATTTTTAATACAATTATTTGTTATTTCTTTAATTATAATAGATTTTTACATTAAGTTTTTTAAAAATATTATAACATTAGTTAAAAGCGACATCAACCTTTCTAAGTGTCCTTATGAGATTGTCATTGTCTAGCGCTTTGAAAATTTGGACCAATCAGAAGATCCGCAGTAATTAACAAATGTAATTTTTGTGTTTATAATCGAGCGGTAATTATAAAATACGGAAGACCAACCAGAACACAATTTAGTTGCATTATTTGAGTTCAGCATTGTTCTCCACTGTTAAGGCCTTTACTTTTGCGAAACACGTATGGAGAAATTAATTTGATTTTTCAATTTCAACTGAGAAAGGTACCTATAAGTATCAGTATCATCTTATGAAATTTAACTACTGCTAAACTTTAATTTATATGAGCTTATTTTTATATTAATCTCAGTTATGACATTTTTCCATAAATGAAATATCAAAATTAATAATAAAATAAATGGAAATACAAATAACACAGTAAAATGTAATAAATTAGGTCTGTCCCATATAATTCTAAAAAGTGGTATACCCTGGAGAAAAAGGTCCCCAAATTGATAAAAAAAATTTTTAACGTGGAAATGTTTGTTAGTATTAAAGAGGGAAGACCAAAATATTTTCTGAATATTTTTTTTTCAGATTTTTTAATCCTTCCTATAAATGTTAAAAATTTTACTTAAAAATCTTGTTTTTCTCGAATCAAAAAAATTTCATAAATTCGATCTTATCAGACATTTCTGCCCAAGTTTGTAAACAAAAATCAAATGTATCAAACAAAAATCATGTAAAATTCAGTTACACATTTTTCTTTTGTTATCTTAGGAAATTTAGAATGATTAAAGTATACTTAATGTAATTTGAAACAAACATTATTTACTTTTTTAGCAGAAAATTTTTTAAGAGATATTTCCAACCGTGGTGCTTGCTTAGGTGCATGTTTGAGGGGCGTTAATTGATGTATGTCAATATATTGACAACTTACATTAGGGGAATTTATTGTACGATAGCACAGAAGTGATGTAATTCGTTCTAATTTTAAGTGAACCTGGTTAGTAAATTAAAAAAAAAAAAAAATTCACTTTCAAATTTTTTTTTAACCTTACATTTGGGGGAAAAATTTTTGCACTGAAAATAATATTTAAATTATGAAAAAAAAATCAAATTTTACAAATAAAAATAAAACAGTAACAACATTTTTTTTTTTTTTTTTTTTTTAATTGAGTTGTATTATTTGTCATGAAATATTTTTCTGAGAATATAAAAATTACATGAAACACCATTAATTTTCATAATTGAAACAGGTTAACTTAATGAAATGAGATTTTATTTCTTTTTATTAAGGCAGACTTTTTTTCTATTTATTAATACTTGTGATATGGCAGTCATGGGAGTTTTATACATGTTTTATTTATTAATAAAATTAACATTGAAATGCTATGCAATCAATTTCAAACTTTGCTGTGTTGTTAACTGAACGAATGCAAAGCAATTTCTGAAGTAAAAGAACTTGCTTCTATCAAGAGAAACAAGTCTACCTATTATTTCAAAGCTGTGCATCCAATACTTTCGTTGGAGACGATTTTAAATACAATTTTGGAATATTAAAAAATTATTTTAAAAATATCAACGGTTGTCAAATTTTAATGAGCTTTCAAATTTATGATCTTTAAAAAGTAGAGAACATAATGTCATTTCCATAAGGTTGCATAAAGAAACTTAATTTTAAAATATATAACATTTTGTCATATTGTGTATTTAAAATAGAAAAAAGAAAAAATTATTGTAAAAATTCATTTTTCATCAAAAATTTTTTTTTTTTTTTTCAGCTAAAAAATTACCTTAGTATATGTTATTCAGAAAAGTCATAAAAAGCTTTTTTAATTAAATATTGTCTTAGTTTTATTGGGTTTTGTATTTTTACAATTGAGGTAAAAGTTTGGACAATTTTGCACATTTTTTTACCAAAAACATTGATGATTTAGAATCTTCAGAGTCTTGTGCATTTAATTGAAAAAAAAAAAAAATTCAGGTTTTGAAAATAAATTTTTGAAGTTTTCATAAAATTAAATTCGAGGGGTGTGACATATATAAAAAAAAAAAAAAATATTTATACCATGACTTTCAAAAAGACAAACATTTCTAAAATAATTTCATTCATTTGTGAATAAGTTCTGAAGGTTTCATTAAAATCCAACAAGTATTTGATTTCTGCAAGATTTTCCAAATCAATGTGTTTTTTTTCTACTGAAAACAGTGAAAAACAATGCTAATTATTACCTAATTTTTGACCTAAAAAAAAACAAGATTTTCAACCTAAATTTAAAACATGCTGCAAATGAAAATTTTTTTTTAAATAATTGAAAAATACCTTGGTCTTTAATCTTAATAATAACAAACTTTTTCACGATAAAATTTTATTTTTATTAAGTTCATGTTAGATTCCTTAATGAAATCGCTAAAAAAAAAAAAACAACAAAAAACATAGCATGATAAAAACGGCCTTAAACTTGAAACCAAAATTATTTAAATGTTTATTAAGAGGAAATCCCAAAGTATTTTTTTTTTTTTTTTTTTAAATTTTTGCATCTAATTCTAATTCTAACTTTTGATTTTTAAAAAAAAAAAAATTGTTTCCATTTGCAAGTGTCTACTAAATAACATTAGTTTTTTAGCACCTTTTCTCTGTTGAAAAACATTAATTTGGAAATTCTTGCAAAAATCAAATTTTAGTGAAACTTTCAGAACTTATTCACAAATGAATGAAATTATTTTAGAAATTTTTTTTTTTTTTTTTTTTTTTTACATGTTACCCAAACCCATTGTAAAGAGGTCGGGGGTAGGGGTGTATGTACTATAACTGACCACTGCCTTTACATACATACTGATTTATGTGAGCATATGGAAAAATGAAATTTGGCATTTAATTCAAGCAATCCAAGAAAGTTACTATTTTTGGATAAATCAAATGTTTCATAATTTCCCTAAATACCAAACCATATTTTTTGTACAGAAGCTAACTTGATTTTTGTGTGTTTGCTTCAAATTGGTAAAAGGCCTACCTCAGTGCTGCTGACATTCAAATAATTTTTTTATTTTTTTTAAATCCAGTATCATATTGTAATTCATTGTCATCCATAAACACATGTCATTATCTGTCATCACTAGTGAGAACACCTGGTATTTTTGTGTCTGCGCTTAAATTTTTTACTAAACTCATTTGCTTGTTCATAGTTGTTAGACAGTAATGAGTTTGAATTGCTTCTTTTTGGTGTAACTACCTTGTGTCATGTTCCTTCAGTGGCTTGTGTTGGTCCTTTACTTCATTGTTACTTTCTCTAGAAATTGTTATCCTTGTAGTAGTTACTGACAGTAATTCTTGAATTTCTTGCTAGCCCAGTCTCTGTGTATGGTAAACTAGTTGTTCCTCAGACTGTCCTATATTGTCAATTTGTTTTTCTGTTTGTGAATATGTTCTGTATCGAGGGTTTATGAAGAGTGCTTGTAAAGAGCCATATAACTGATTTTTAAATGCTTCAGTATTTCTTTCTGTTACTTTAGTTTACTAGCACCACATTTATATCTCCTTTGTTTTTATTTTGTAATTGGAGTCTATAGTAGATGTGTATTTTGGTGGAACTCAAGAAATGACTGCAATTTAGTTTTTTTGGCTTACACATTGGTTTAAGTATACCATTGATTTTTGTCATTAAATTTGTAATTTTAAAATTATTTTTGACAAGCAGCTGAATTACCCTAGATTATGAAGAGTTGGATTGCAGCCTCCTCAGCCCATATTTAAATCCAGCACTCCCTGTGTTTGCATCATAAAATAATTTTCTCTGTGGCTGGCTTGTATTTTTCTTGTTCTTACATAGATGTATTTTTATTTTCAAATGGTAATTAATACTACTTTTAGAATCTATTTCTTTTACATATTTTTTTGCTTGCATTTTTGGATTGATCCTAAAACACTCAAATTCTACATTTGTTTTCAATCCCTTTGCTATTTTGGATTGCATTCTTGTTGATGACATTTTCATACTTATTTTCGCTATAAGATATGAATATGGAAATCAGCCAGAAAAATTGACTCTTGTGTTCAAACATTCTGTACCACTATATTTTCAAGTGCTATGGAGTCTAATTTTGGTTGGTTTGTTATTGTAGTATATAAAAATAGGCTTTCTTTGACAGATTTTTATTCTCCCCATTTATTAAAGCTGAAGTGGAAAATGATAAATTGTAAACATTTTTACATAATTTCTAGTATAATTAATTTACTTTATTTATAAAATAAATCTCAAACTGTTTTCTTTAAACAAACCTAAAATCTATTGTAGTCAGTATATTTTTAAATTTAGTACAATGTAGAAATGTCTTTTTTAACTAGTTTAAAAGGCAATTTCTGTGAACCTTCAATTTTAGGTAAGATGGTGGTCTTTTCAAAAGAATTTCATTCTATGTCACAGTTTTATAGATAGGGATCAGATAATTCAATATTATATTTTATTGAAGCAATTCTTTTGGCTTCATTATTGACCTATGTTGTGTTTCCTTGAATTCAAGTAAATCTAATTTTCTTTTGGGTTTTATGGGCATCACACTTTTTCTTTAATTACCTGTGTTAATAAAATTAAAAAAATGCAGTCCTATTGGTTATGCTCTATTTCATACTGGTGAATACTGCAAGTCTCCATCATTCCCAAAATTTGTCAGGCTTCAGACATTGTCTATTGGCTAATTAAGTGAAAAAGTAGAGAATGCAAAGTAATTGTACATTTATGTTGCAGTTAACTCCCTTTTGGTTTGGGTAATTTTTATCAATGACTCATAAATATTACAGCCTGGGATAATAACCTTTATTTCTAGCAACAGCAATGTCACTTTTACATTGATCTAGAGTGGCAAATTCTCCATTTCTAAAATGTCAAATTCAGTGTTCTTCTGTGACGGTAAATTTCAATTTTGTTTTTGTTTCAAATTCGTAACACATGAAAAACCTACTTGTGTGTAAACAGTAAAATATACTATTTATATAGGCATCTTTGTTTTTTTTTTTCCTATTTTGTGCTTCAGTGATTTCTGATGATCCACAAGCGTGTCACTTAATCTACAGTGTATTGACAAAAACTGACAAAATGATTTATTGTCATCATCATGGAAAGCTAGCTCTTCAGCTCTGTATCTTATTTTATGCGTGCACCCAGCAAGTTTGCTAGCTTTTTGTTTACTCATCGTGAAAGATAATCAAACAACTTTTTTCTTCTTTTTTTTTTTTTTTTTTTTTTTTTTTTACTACCCTTGACGGCACATGCCACAGTATTCATATGCTAATATCACACATGGGTATTTTCCCTGCGGTGACTGGTTTGGTCAGGTTAATATGAATTAGGTTATGACGCTTACATAGTACTGGAAAATACCCCATGTTATTCTATAAATAACATATTGCAGCAATATAGGTTGTAGTGCTTGTGCATAAGTGACTGACTTTGCTGTGTTTATTTATCTGTTTTATATCACAAAGAACTTGTCATTCTACATTGATCAATGTTTCTTTAGTTTATAGCAAAACCCAATAATATGTGTTATGTTTTGATGATAACACTGGAAATAAGTACCTAAGATAAGTACTACTGTTTCTTCTGGAGCTTTTGCAGCTATCCAGATGAATTCATTGGTTTATTGTCATCTTGTATTTTATTTCTGTTGTCAGTATTGATATTCTAAAGCACGATAGTCTTAAGTGTTTTGAGATAACCCATTGCCATAAAAAAAAGTATCACTGATGGGATTAAAATTTTGGAAGGTTTTAGGTCAGGTGAATACTGTCCTAAAAATATAAACACACATATATATATATATATATATATATATATATATATATATATATATATATATTAGTGTTTAAATATATTTTATATATATATATATATATATATATTATATATATATATATATATATATATATATATATATATATATATATATATATATATATAGTATTTATATATTTTATATTATATATATATTATATTTTTATTATATATATATATATATATATATATATATATATATATATAATATATTATATATATAGCTCATAACATGATAGTTTGATGATCAGCTGTTTTGCTTATGTGTCTCTTAGGATGCACTTGACAACACAATGTGGAGGGCAAATATTTTTGTTTCTTCTATATTTCCTTATACCTTTTTAACTGAAGGAATATTAGTTCAATTCCTTGAATTAAAGTTCACTGTTTTTAAGTGAATATTTGTCCGTTGCTGAATTGGCCTTAGAATCTGTAAGAGGCAAGATTCAAGGTGTGTTGTTTTTTTTTTGGGGGGGGGGTCCTGTATGAATTATTGAAGAACTGTAAGCTTTGCCTTTAAGTTTTGAAAATTAAACTTGTAATTCTTAGGCAGATCCTAGCCTTTTGAAACTTTTTCTTTTTTTGCTTAATTAGGAAGACGTAGTCCAAGAGGAAGCAATGGTTGTAACTAAAGAAGGGGAGGTAGACACAGAGAAGAGAATTGAAGCTGATGTTGATGAAAAAGACAAAGCTGAAACTTCCAAGGTTCAAACCCTTACACCTCCAGCAGCTGGGAAAACTGACACAACAGATGAGAAGGAATCGACTAATCCCACTCTTGGCAGCACAACTCCACAAAAGGAAAATACAGCAGGAAATGATGATGCTGCTGCTGTTACAGGAAACAACTCGGTGGTGATTATTTGATTAATAGTTCATAGATGTATTCATTTATTTCACTCATTATAGATCAGTGCTACAGGAAGATGCACTCATTAGGAAAAGCCCCTCTTTTTAATTCAATATTGTAAAACCCCAAATAATCTAAAATAGAAAGAAATTAAAGTTGATTTTAAAAAATTGATTTAAATTTTTTTTTTTTTTTTTTATCCCCATCCCAAATACCTTCATTTAAACGCTCTAAAAGATTTGTCACCTATTTTATTTTGAATTTGCTTACGGATACATCATGAAACACCAGTCCCTGTATGATCACCAAAGTTATGCAATGTCGAACTTGATTAGTACCTGTATAGATGACCACTTGGGTATACTAGGGGCTGTAAGCTTGGATGTGCAAGTGGTGTAATGGATAATGGCCTGGAATTGTTAATTTGAGAGAAGTTTCAATTCTAGTTAGGCTCCTTATATCCACTTACGTGCAAATATCCTTGAGGAAACACATGACTCCACCTTTTCTCCCCCCAGCTATGAGTTAATTATTAGGCCTTGTATCACTAAATCATTATTTTAAAAAAAAAAAAAAAAAATTTAAATTCTTACAATCTAAAAATATTTTCTGGCTTTAAATAACCTGCAAATGATTGATAATTCATAGAAAATGAACCAGTCGAATTTGAATTTTCATTTAAGTTTAACATGCTTGGTAATATTTTCAATATATCATTACAAGATGTTGGACAGTGAAAATGGACAGACCGTTTCAGACTTTGATTATAGATTATAACTTGAATCTCATGCTGAAGGAAAGACACGAACCTCAAATTTCCTTTGAAATACTGTAATGAGACTTTGGGAAAGTCTGAGTTTTCCTCCTCAATATCATCTGAAAGTTTAAATGTCATCTTCAAGAAATAAGTGACTTCCTTTTTTTTTCACTTAAACCCCAAACTTTTAGGCTTGAATTTTGTTCTGCAAAATCTATTTTATAAACCTGTTTTGTTTAAATTTTTTTTTTTTAATTTATCAGAAAATTCCAATTGCTTTATGTAAGCAGTCATTTCATTTTGACTTGATGCCATAAGTTCAACTAAGGAAATTATATTCCAGATATAATTTAGTTTTATTCTCAAATCTGTTTCTAATAATAATAATAATAATAATAATGAATGTTAGAAGATAAACTAGTAAAGGAAGATACTAATATCTATGATGCTGTGAGAAATACAGGGTGTGACAGAAATGTCTTACCATTATGTGGCAGGTATTTCTACTGCACCCTGTATATTATTGGCTTTGCATGCTGTGAAGTATTTTGGCTGTTAAAATACCTTTTTACATTAATTATTTTTCAAATATTTCTTTAAGAAGCTACAAAAAGAAAATATCACTTCGTAAACATTAACAAAACAATTATTTTTTTAATTGTACAGTTATCCTGATAGACTTTGCAAATAAAAATGTTTGGTTTGGCATGATTACTATCTGTATCTAACTGCCACTGTATTTATCATCATCACTAAATATTAAGGTGCTTCTTGTCTTTTTTAATTGATTCTGATTTGACACTTTCCATTTGAATCAAAATGTTATCCCTTTGAGAAGGGATTATGTTTATGATTCTCTTTGTAAAGATAACTTGCATATCTGAAAATGATTTCTAAACAGACAAAAAAATGATTCATCTAAAGACTTTGCTCAAGAATGAAATCTACAGAAATCAGTTAAAACTTTTCTTTCTTTTTTCTTTTTTTTTCTAGGCTGAAACCAAAGATTCTGCTGCAAATCCTACTCCAGGTATTTTAATAATTAAAATTTTTATTTCTCTTATTAAAAATCTGAACTTTTAAATATTTCAAGTTTTGTTTTCCATAAACACAAATATTTTACACTTTGCAAAAAACTTTGTCATTCTTAAATGTTTTAGATTGAATTTTTTTGTTTTCAATGTTTATATCCTTTGAATGTTGTTGTTGTTGTGTTTTTTTTTTTTTTTTTTTTTTTTTTTTTGTGCGTGTTTTGAAAACATGCTGATCTTTCAACTAGTGAATCATTTTCTCAAGTTTGTAGTCAACAGTTCTCAGGAAGATATCACAACTAAAACAATTGGCTGATCTGACTAAACAAAAAATCAGTTTTAATAAGCAAATATTCTAACTGGCATGTTTAATTTAGTTTGGGGAAAAGCTACAATGTTGGGATGCCCAATAATGATTGAACTGGCTATGCTTAAAAATCAAACTGTGTTGACAAGTTTTAACTCTTGTACTACAGTACGCACCCAACAACCCACTAAAAGAAACAATAAAATCATAACCTTTCTCAAATCTGTAATCAAATTGGTGACATAGTGGGGTGATAGATATTTATACTATATTTAAATATTCTAAAGCTGAAAATGCACATCTCTAATCTTGCATAAATAGATTTGTGTGTAAATAGTTGAATAAATATATTTAGTTAGCTTGTACTTTGATTCTTTGGGGATTTTACTTCTAGTAGAATGGTTTAACAAGCAGATTCTACAGATGATTTTGCCATTTAGTGAATTTGGTTTTTACTGGAGGCCTTATTATGATGGCCTTTTATCAGACAAGTCTAAACTGAGGACATGTCTAGATTGATGTTTTCTATTAGAAATTTTGTTATTTTTCGGTTGGAATCAGTAGATGTAGAGTTTTATATTGGGAGGCAAAGAGAGAAAAGCTTTCTTGTGCACAGCTTTATAAAAAGAAACAAGAGGACACTGTGACATACCCCCCCACTCCTGCTTCCATCCAGCATATAAATATTGTAGAAAATTACAAAGAGAAGATAACATCATCTTTAATGCTGTGTTGATAAAATAAATAAAAAATCTTTAGTTTATAACATGAATGGTAGAAAATTGACAAAAGAACTCTTGTAATTGGTGGAGGGAGGGGTCTATTTCTTCCTGTGGGGGGGGGATTTTTCCCCACTTTCTAATGCTAATTTACTTCTGTCAGTAGACAAACTGAACTTAATTGTATGAGTTAAAGAAACTTAGTAATATTTCAGCTAATCCTGTCTGCATGGCTGATCAGTTGACCATTTAAATGATAATCAACACTTAAAATCCTTTATTTATTGAGAGTAGCTCTAAGGTTAACTAATTGTATTGATAATCAATATGAAAAATGAAAATTACCTTTTGAATGTGCAAATGACTTACTTGGCTTTAGAGTTACTAACCAATGCTATTGTTTTATTCTTTTACAGCAAGTAAAAGTGAAGAAAATGAGTCACTGATTGTTCTTGTAGATGATACACAAAATGATCTTGATGCAGATCTTTTGGCAAAAGAGAAAGCAATCGGAAAGACTGAAAGCAAGAAATCGGATGCTACAAGTGCTGCTGGCGGTGGTGGTGATGGTAGTTCCGTTTGCCCTCCAGAAACTGAAGCTAAAAGTAATGAAGAAGGACAGGGGGATAAAGGTAACCTGGAAGTGAAGACTGAGAAGAAAGCAGATGAAAAGAAAGATGATAAAGATGGGAAGTTGAAGAGGTTGGTTTTCATGTCATCTTTCCCACTGCTTTGACTCAAAAGATGTCCTTTGTTTCATGTTCTTGCTTCTCGCTAGCAGATTTTCCTGAAAAAGCACAACTCGGCAAAAGGAATTGCTCAGCATAAACTGCCTTTTCCATAGTTTTTACCTCTTAATGTCTTGATTACCTGTTTAAAAGGTGTTTTATATCACATCTTACAGAACTGTCAATTAGATGTCAGCAGATAACAATATTGCCTAACTACCAGAGTGAAAGCTATCCTTTGCTAAAGGAGCTTTTATTTTATTTTTATAAGAATGTTCACTAAGTGAGGATTATGAATTTATTAATTGCACTTAATTCATTATTCACTTTCAAATGGAAAAAGAAATCTAGGCAGTAATTAATCCAGTATTTCCTCATAGAAATGCATGCACCTGATGACACTCTCTCCTTTTCTAATTCTTTTCTTCTCCAACATGACTGTGTAATATCTCATTAGTTTTATCAAATAAGCAGCATATGCCATCTATGTTATTTTCATGGATTTTACAAATATACAAATAATCTTGTAAAATTAACAGAGGAAAACTTATTCAAGGTTTATTCTTTGAAGTACCAGAAAAGTAGAGTATATTCTGTGAAAGAAGCAATTTTCCTATAAAAGTTTTTTTTTTTTTTAATTTTAATTTTTATCATTGCTTATATATTTAGTACTGTCTTATCAGTGCTACTAATGTGCGTGTGTGTATTTGTGTGCACCATCATTTTTGCCAAACGAATCACATCAGTTGATGGCACAAGAGAGAATTGTACCTCTATAGATGAGATTCCTTAAATAGTTCTAAGAGTTCAACCTACTGAACTCTTCTTTGTTGTTAACTTGGTATTTTGGCTGATCAAATCTAAGGCTTTCATCAGATATATAATCTCTATGGAAAGTGATTTGATGCTCTCTCTTTATTTTTCTTGTGCAAACCAGAAAATGGTGACTATATTTATTCTGATTACTGTACAAAAAGTTTGGTACAAGAATCAATAAAGGAGCTTGAAATAGTAGCTGGTCTTCTGCTAACCATACTCTTGGCTAATTTGTTTCATGACCAACCAAACAGCATGATTCCTTTAGCCAATTACCATCATACTACATTTACTATCTGACACTAGACCAAGACCTACATTGTCTCACCCATGACATACAGATGAGTGATAACAACCTAAGTAATTTTGTATTGCTCTCCGTTAAGCAAAATAAAATCCATCTTTGTCCAATCCAGACATTTATTTGTAAATCTAATGTTCACAGTTTAACTATTTCTTTTTCACTCTGCCCAGAATTAGCTGAGATTTTTACTTAGTTAAACATTAGTGCAGTGTCCTTATTTATTTGAGGTATGTGCACTTGTCATCGTCATCATCATATTGGTTTACACTGATTAGGGATTTGTTTTTGTTTTTACCTGCTCATCTTGTACAATTGATTCTAAATGAGTTTGACTCTTAACTGAACATCTTGTCATTACAGTTCATCCACATCTTCTCGGGTGAAATCATCAAAAACTGCTGCCAGTGAGTTTTTCCTTTTTCTTGCATGCAAAAATTTTATTTTTCTAATCAAAGCTATCCATTCCTACTTTGTATAATTTTTCAGTAAAATTTTTTATAAAAATGAATATCTTTTTCACTCTATTATTGCTAAAATTATTTAGAAAAAATGTCTTCCATCTGCTAAAATACAATTCGGTTCTTGCAAAAAATGTCAGTTTTTCCAGCATAAAATATGTCGAGTGATTAAAGTTCATCTTAAGGAATGTAACCAAGTTAAATTTGTAATCAGAGAGCAGTTTGATTAATTTTTATTCTATTTGATTTTATTATGTGTTTAGTTTTTTTTCTTTTTCCTCAAAAATACATTTTTCAATGCCTCACCATTTGATATATATTAGCAATTTCAATTTTCAGGTGTAAATCGAGATGGCTGTAACTTGTGGATAAGTGGACTGAGTAGCAACACAAAAGCAACTCATTTGAAAGGAATTTTTGCTAAATATGGCAAGGTTGGTTAGTTTTCTTTTAATAGGCATTCATCAGGGAATTAGCCAAATTCTTGTCCTCTAAAGAAAGAACATCCACAAAAGATCTTGTATCTCCATCCCTCAATTTAAATTTGCACAGATTTCTTTTTATGCAGTTTCACTTTAATAAGGTTGCAACATAAGAAAAAAAATGACCAGGTTTTCACTTTAACAGGGTTTTTCCAAATGTTATTTGCCTGTTGTTGACAAAGTTTATCCAAACTCCTATCTGGAGAGATTCTGTACCCGAGTACAACAGATGGGGTGGGGGAGCAGATAGGTGACGTAAAGTGACAGTCAATTAAAAGTGTCTTTCTTCTTTTTGAGCCCTGGTAATAGTTGAACTCCTACTGGTTTTACAAATATTTTCAAGTGTCTGGTAACAGTGAGTACAAAGAAATATAACAACTTTAGCAATGAGGTGCCTCCTACCCTTACCAATCTGAATATCTTATTAAAGGCGCACCCACAATGCTGTGTTCTGGCACAAAATTCTATGATTAGCCCATTAATGAGAAATATAATGAAATACATTAAGTTGGTCAGTTGAGATATATGATTTTTCTGTATCAATATTCTACATTTATGTTGATTACATAATTCAATTTGTTCAGATTTTGAAGCCCTGGAATAATTTTTCCAATGTATAAATTTCAAACTCAATTTATAGGATTTTTATTTACATGAAAATTTTTGGTCTGAAGTAAATTGGAGAATGGATAAAGAAACAATTTTTGATGGGTGCTCTCCATCAGACAAAGGTCAAAGAACTTGATCAAAGTAATAAAATTTAACTGGGTGCAAGGAAATATATGAAACCATCATAAGGTAGTGCCATTTTAGTATTTGGGTATTTACTGAAATTTTAAACCCAAACTGACATCCCACAAGCTGTAGGTCTAGTAACTTACTTGGTACCCTCCTGAGTATGATGAGCTTATTTACTGAAATGGTTGTCATCTCAAGTACACCAGCTGCATGATTCATTCCCAATAACAAAGGCAGATTGGACATGAGTATACAATCAATTAAATATATGGTGCTTCACTAAAATAACACCCACATATTTTAATACAGGTGTGCAAAAATACCAAATTTCCAGGCAGTGTGGTGGTATCAGAAAATTTCTTTGTAAGTTACTATCATATTCATGATTTTGGTACCCATCCCCGTCTTTCACTTATTTTTAACAATTTTTTGAAATGTGTATGTCTTCTGTTTTGTTTGAGGTTTTTTATTTGGTTTATATTTGATTTTACGAGCAAGATTAAAGTTATTAGTTTTAAAATGAAATTTGCAATTATTTCAAATTTTTTTTTATTAAAATTTTTACATGAAAAAAAAAAACAAATATGAGAAAAAAGAAAAACATATTCTGATTCAAATGTCACTTCATGAAAAACTAATCTGAAGAAATAATCTAATGCAAAGTTTAAAATTATTAAAAAAAAAAAATAAAATAAATTTTTCTTTGGTTTCTTTTCCCTCCAGGTTGTTGGTGCCAAAGTAGTGACAAATGCTCGTAGTCCAGGAGCTCGATGTTATGGCTTTCTTACTATGTCCTCTCCAGAGGAAGCAGCCAAATGTATTCAACATTTGAATCGGACCAAAATAAACAATCAAACTGTCACTGTCAAAAGTGTAAGGCAACCCTTTTCTTTTTCTTTTTTTTTTTGCTGGAGTGGGTGGGGGTAGCAAGCATGTTTTTCAAACCCTGTCTCTCTATTTCAACCCATCCTTCAGTAAACACTGGCAACTGCTACATGTCCATAAGCTTTCATTTTAAAAGGTGATAGAAATGATGTTTTATAAAAAAAAAAAATTTTCAATCAGCATTTATTTCAACTCCTCTGCATTAAGTTTTTCATTGTATATTTATTTAGAAAAGGAAACAATTAAAATATTGTCTTTTCCAATTGGTAATGTGTTTTCATTTTAGTTGTACCAGTGGGTGCTGAAACGGATTAAAAAGAAAATTTTGGGAGTGGTGGGGAATTGGGCTTCATATCTTTACAAGTGTTCATCTTAAGAACCCAGGACCTTATTTATTAATCATGATTTTTTTTTTTTTTTTTTTTGTAAGAAGCAAGCACTTAATTCCATAATCTCAAACACTCTTTACTATTTACTATTAAACAAATCTTAAGAGCCAATAACATTATAGGCACTATTTTTATGCTAATTCCAAACAAAGCAAAAAAAGCTTGTTATATTCTAAATTTATAAACACGCATGAATCATATACCGAAGACTTTGATTTTCTCAAAGCCAATATTTTTAACAATTTACACAATAATAATAAAATGATTGCTTTTTTTTAACATTGTCCAAAAGATAAAAACTCTGTACATGTGTGTAAATTGTAAAGTCTCTTAAGCTATTCTGAAAGTATCTTTAAAGGTTTTATCAGTACTGGTGCACATTTTCAGTAGTATCTTAAAACTTTAATAAGATAAAATTCTAACTCAATTTTAAATATCCATTTTATTGTCTATTTCCATATTTCTTTTTTTCTTTCTTTCTCTCTCTCACTCACAGACCCTCCAAATATTGTCTTTGAGAAATGGACAATTCTTCAGAAAAAGACTTCTAATCAGAAGTGCTCTCTGCTAAATTGGTTTTTGAATGTGTTTAACTGTTATCTACAAAATCATTCAATTCTTAATGTAGGAACAACCAAACATGTACACCCTCCCAAACTAGCCTAGTTGTACTTGGATTTGCTGTTTTCTCAGATGCACATTACACATCTTGATTTGTAAAGTAGACCTGATCTGTACAGTTGTTGTTGTTTTCTGTTAAGAAAACAACACATCTTTTGGTAAAATAATTGAAAATTTTGCAATGGTTAGTAAAAGTCTCATGTGCAGAAAAAGGCATTACAAGAAGAAATATACATCTTTATTTTCAAACTCAGGAATATATTATGCAAATTAGAATATGATGGACATGCCAGGATATGTTTTTACTTTTTCAGGCACTGGATTGATCAGATCTATTTTGTGAGATGTCATTTGATCAGGATTCATCAAAAAAAAAAAAAAAAAAAAAGAGACCTTCCGGCTGAGTGGCATAGATTTCCATCCACCATAAAAAGCTGAATTTTTTCGGTTGAGTTCCAGGTTTAAACAAAATCCATTGTAGGGCAATTTCCAGATCCATCTTTGGGCTTTTTTTTTTTTATTTTTTATTTAAATAATTGAGCAAATGAGAAGCCATCTGGGGGGAAAAAAAAAGAAAACAAACTCCAAAGTTGATTTTACTGAAGGATGAGGAGCTTGAGTGGCTTTCTTTTGCCTATTCTCTTGTACAAAGATACTGAAATGCTGTCCTTCAGCTAATATACACTACACACTGCCACTTTCAATTTCCTTGTGTTCTCAAAGAAACATTTCTCATAGTTTAGATTTATTTGATTTGGGAATGGTTTCATTGGCTCATTCCCCATTTGACCAACTTACAGAATTTTAACCATTTCCATTCTCCTGGAGTGTGAGGTATTGTGAAGTGACTGTAGTTATTTCATTTTTAACTTTTATAGCAAAATAAGTGATTATCAGTAAGGATATCTTTAAATGCTAAAATCTGAGTAAATGTGGGTGTCTACTTAAGATGATGTACATATTTATCTTGAAATCTGTTTGTATAATGGTGAGATGTAGATACATTTTTGATCTTTGCCTAGATATGACTTCTCATAAGATTTAATGCTTTCTAAACTTGTCATGAGGCATCCCAAAAGAAAGAAATTCTTGTTGCATCAGAATTGGCAGCTGATGGAGTGTGCGAGTACATGTCTATCTATAAGCTGCCAATATTCCACTCTAAGATGTGCCCACAGCATCTGTTTAAGGAGCCTACAACATTATTTTCACAAATGAAAACTTTTTGTCAGTTGCATGGAAGAAGCCAAGCAGAAAGTTTTCCTCACATTTTTTTTTTTTTTTTTCATTAAAACTTCAAAATCCAAATAGAAAGAAAAAAAAATATCTCCAGATTAAACTTGTGTACACATGAAAATGGATAAAATAACGAGAGTTGCAAAAACTGAAGATTTTCCACTGTCAACACAATCTTAGTTAATGCAGCAGCATGCACAACAGTGGATAAAATGTAATCGCTCTTCCTCCATTTGTGTGTGTGTGTATATATATATATATATATATATATATATATATTGTATTTTTCATAGGCTAAAACCACCCCTGGATTACAGCCCATCAAAATACAACCTGAAACAAAATCCTCTGAGAAAGAAGTAACAAAATCTGAAGAGAAATCTCCAGAGAAAAAGTCGTCAGAGAAAAAAGTGACAGAGAAGAAATCTGAAGAGAATGCAGCTAACAAGAAGAAACTTTTGGAGAAGTCATCTGAGAAGAAAAATATTGGAAAGCCTTCAGAGAACAAAAAATCTACAGAAAAGAAGCCAGACAGAGTGAAAGTAAAGAAAGATGGTAAGAACTGTGGTTGGACATCAACTCAGATTTTTTTTTTTTTTTTTTTTAATGATTTTGAAGAATTTTAAAAATACTCATTCCTCAAAAAATAATCAGATATTTTCAAAATGAGCTATTTGTTGTAGAAAAGGAAATATTAAATTATTTAATAAGGGGTGCTGTTATTTGATAGTTGTCCTATTGTTAATTTTTGTGCAAAAATGAATCTTATTGCCTTCAATTGAGATGAAACAAAGTTGAGGAGATGCAAATGGACCAAAGTGACCTCAAAACATTATTTGTTTTCTATTAGAACAGAAATATACTTTTGTCACAGTTATTTACAATAAATATTTTCCTAAATTTCTTTTGCTTGAAGAATTCAGGAATTAACCTTCTTCTTTCTGTTCCATATTGCTTTTTGTTTCTTCCTTTAGACACAGAAAAATAGGAGGAGGATCAATGCTGTTATAAAGTCACCTTTTTAATGCAGATACAAACATTTTACTAAAGTTGTGATCTTTTGTCTCATTTGTATTTATATTAAAAATTCAACCACTTAATTTCTGTGACATTTTTAGGAAAAGGTCTAAGTCAATCTGAAAAGGTTGAGAGCCATTCGAAAACATCGTCAAGGTCCTCTTCAGATAAAACCAAAATGTTGAGTCCAACCAAAACTCCATCCAAAACTTCATCCCATTCACCGAGACATTCAAGACACCACAGATCCAGAGAACATTCTACTGACAAATTGGAAGTAAGTTTATTCGTTTCACATCTTGAATGACCAAAAGAATAACAATGACCACAAGCATTTCATTCTAAAAAATCTTTTTGAAGTAATATGAATTAGCATAATCTCTTTCTCTCTCGGTGAATATCCTGGCCCATGTACTTACCTAATAACGACACTGGTGGTGATTGTGTTTCTCATCATACACCATAAATTTCTTTGTTTAGTTGATGAGAAGAGAATTTCATCAGAATATCTGATTCTTAAATATTTTGCCTTTTCTTTTTTCTTTTCTCAACTTACCTTGCAATTTATTTTCTTTTTAGAGAGATTTTAAACTAACGTTAGAATTAAAGCAGAGGAAGAATTATCTGGAAAGAGAAGTGAGACGACAAGAAAGACAGATTGATCATGCCAGATTGGTTGAACTTGAATTGCAGAGAAGACAAAAGGAAGAGGCTTACAGATTGGACAGAGTTCGTGAAGAACTGAGGTAGGTGGCAAAATATTTTATTTTCAAAATATGATTTGGGATTTATTTCCAAGTCACACAATATCAGATGATCTACAATCGTCAATAGATGAACCCATTTAGAATCCACATTTTATGCAGTGTTTCCGTTGTTGATCTGAAAAGTGTTTGTTTTTTTTATAAAAACTTATTCTAAAGGTTTAAGTTTCTACTAAATGCACTTGATACAATTTGAGAAAACTGTTATGCATGAAATTAGGAAAGTTTTATAAAAGAAACAAAATCTGAATTTGAAAACAAAAAGATTAGAGGGAAATTTTATTAACATTGATAAGAATAAAGAATTTCAAAAGGGAATTTGAAGGTGAGTGATGACTCCCCCAAGGAGGCTTGACATTCAATGTAGACAGGCTCAATTTTATAGTAGCAAACCAGGGAAAAATGTAAGAGACGGCTTGATTGCGTTTAATGGTTATTGGCATTAAATGTAGAAAAAGAACTAATTGAGAAGATTAGTTTTTAAAAAAAATTAGATGGATTGATTTGTTCATTTTAATTATTAACTTGAATATAATTTAGTAACTTAGTATAATAACCTTCTACTCCTCACTTGTAACATTTGCCAAGTCAGGCAAAAATTATAACTGGTAATAAATTACCATGTTTAACGGCATAGAAGGCGCATTTTTTTTTTTTTTTTTTTACTAAAAATGTCTTAAAATTCCCTTGCGTCTTATATGTCATATGTAGGTTTTACTAATTTTACTAATTACTAATTTTTTTCTTGATTTGCCCTGCTGAAATTGGTGCGTCTTATACACCTGTGCATGCTGTCAAATACAGTACTTTCTTGACCAAAATTAAAAAAAATATATACCTAAAAGCCCTTCAGATTAAGTTGTTTATGTAAAGATCTATCCATTGGATAAGTGTAGTTTCTTAGTAGAACAATTTCTGGGCCGTTTGCATAAAGATATTTGTCTCTGCTTTTTCAGTAAGAACTTTTTAGAAAGCAAGTTATCAGAATTCTTGCTTCCCAGGACACAAGAGACCTTTAGAGAATATAAGTTAATGTTAATATTGTATCAATACATCATTGAATGCGCACATTCTCAGGCACACACAAACACAGGTGCAGAGAGAAAGACACAGAAAGAGTAGATTGTGGCAGCAACTGTAAGAAATGACTACCAGATTATCACCTCCAAACTTTGTTTGAAAAGTATGGCAACAAGTAAATAGACATGACTGTTGCTCTATCATCAACATAGTTGTGAAGTTTGAAGTTCAGCCAACTGTGTATTGCTGTCAATTGCGAAAAGTAAGATGCTAGTTTGAA